CCGTATATATTTATGATCGGAGAGGGTCTCCTCGTCCTCCAGGACCTGCCAGCCTGATACTCGCGCGGCTAATGAGGGGGTCGCAAACGTGACGTCCACGATTGACCCCCCATTTCGCCGAACGCACGTGTTGGCATGGCCCCGGTTGAGGATGGCTAGCCCTAGGACTGCCGCCCAATTTTCCAACTCTGGCCCCCTGGTATTGGTGACCGGAGAACCCCACGCCGCGCTCTTGGCGTTGAAGTCCCCCAACACCAACACCGGCGTCGGAGCTGCCCTCCTCACCGCCCTCTCTAGGGTCTCCAGGAACGCCTGGAATTGGGCCAGGGTGCGGTTTGGAGAGAAGTACACCCCAATTAGGATGACTTCTCCCCACCTCGCCGCCACGAACCCTGACCCGCGTTCCTTCACCACTAGAGGGGGGGAGTGTCCGGCAGTCGACGCCACTATGGCCACCGTCTCCTCCCGATCCCCCGCCCAATTCCCCCGCGGGGGGACAAAATATGGCTCCGCCACAGCAGCCACCGCAACCCCCCACTCCGCCATGGCCTGGACCAATAGGTCCTGTGCCCTGGCGCAGTGGTTGAGGTTGCCCTGCAGTATAATATGGTGGCGTGCTGGCATTACTGCTCCATACTTTGTCCCTCAATAGGGGGGGGGGCCTGGAGTCCCCGCCGACTTGCCCTTGGTGGGGGAGGGAGCGCAAGATCGCCCCCCCATCACGTGGTCCGCTGGACGGCGAGCCGCGGTGCAGACCGAGCACCGCGGGGTCGCCGTGCACCCGGAGGCCGAGTGTCCCACCTGGCCACACCTGAAGCAGAGCCCGCTCCTGTCCACACTGGACGGGCAGAGGGCTCTGGTGTGACCAATCCCCATGCACCTGAAGCAGCGCATGGGGAGGGGCTCCATCACATGGACCCCGGCGGAGGACCACCCCACCAATATGCGTGCGGCAGCCGCCACCCGTTGGGCTGCCGTCACCGGGCAGCGGACGAGGGCTGACCCCCTCCCGTTGGGGGCCAGTCTGATGGCTCCCACGCTCACGGCGGACTGGGGGCATTGGCCCTTCGCGGCCACCACCGCCCGGATCTTCTCCGGGGTCACTGACTCGTCAAAACCGGTGACCCTTAGATCGGCGGTTTTGGTAGGCCGCGTTACTGTCGCCAGCCCCCCGATCGCCTCCTTCAGCTTGGCCGCCAGGGTGTCGGCCTTCTCGGCGCTGGTTGCCCCGGGCACCTCGACTATGCGGGCACCCGTCTGGGTATTCCGCACCCGCACGTGCGGGATGCCGAGGCTGCCCAAATCGACCGCAGCGGTCGCCGCCTCAAGGACCACCTTGTAAGTGGCCCCCTTTTCCGCCACCGCTTCGGGCCTCAGCGTGCTCACCACCGCCGATGATCTTGGGGTGGCGAGAGCCCTGGGTCTGGGAGCCGTCTTAGGGGCCGCCTTGGTGGGGGCCCGTGCCGCTTGGGGGGCGGCAGCTGCCGTTTTGGCCTTTCTGGCCTTGCGGCCGACTACCTGTGACCAGGGCGTTTCCGCCTGGTCAGTCGGCGTGGAGGCCGTCGCGTCAGGAGCGGTAGGGACGGCGAGAACAGCGGGGGGCGCCGCAGGAGGGGCAGCAGTAACCTTCCACGGGGGAGCCTTCCTCTTGGCCTTCTTGCTGGGCCGCTGGCCGGCAGGCGCGTTTCGAGCCAGTGAGGGGCCCGGTGTCGACTCGGGGGCCGCGGCGGAGGGGAGCAACCTCGGGGCGACTGCGGTGACGGCAGGCGTCGCCTCGGGGGCGGGTGCCCCTGTTCTGCCGCCCAGGGGGGGGCGTAGGTACTCCGCAGGGAGGCGTCTTTCGATGTCCCCCAGGCGGGCGTCGATCATATTCCTCATCGAGGAGAAGATGTCCCGCCTGAGATCGTCGATGGCCTCCCTCACTCCCGCGTGCATCTCCGCGGAGCTGCACGGCGGTGGGGCCACCTGTGCCTTGGCCTTGGCCATAGCAGCGGAGTAGGCCCCCCTCAGGGCCTTCACCTCCGTTTCCAGAGCAGCGAGCTGCCCTCTCATCCGGCGATTGTCTTCCGACATCCGCCGCGCCGCCTCTGTCGCCGTCTCTCCACGGTGAAGGAAATTGACGGCTCCTTCCACCTTCCTGACGGCCTCTTTTATGGCTTTGACCACCGTCCCCTTGAGGTTAGAGGACTTGGCGGTCTCCGCCAATATTGCTGCGAGGCCGTCTCGTGCCTCCTGGGCCAGGGTCTCTCGCATGAGGCCCGCCATGCCATCGGGTTCAGCCTCTCCGGCCTGACCCCGGCCCAGGGCCTCCTTGAAGAAGGCCGCGTCCGCATCCTTCTGGAGGGCGTTCCACTCTGACGAACTAGAGCGCCCCCTCCCTGCCGTTGCCGCACCGGGGAAGGACTTCCCGGGGCCTCTAGGTCTGCCCCTACGGGCCGTGCTAATCTTTGGAGCCCTTTCGGGCTCCATAGATTCGTTCGACGGGGGGGCGGCGCGCTTGGGAGCCCTTGAGGATCCCTTCTCTCCGGCTGACCTGGAGCGCGAAACCACGCGTGAGTTCCCCTCAGAGAGGGTGGCCTCTCCGTCCGAAAGGGCCGAGAGCATCGTCTCACCCTCCGACTCATTGTCGGAGAGAATGCTCACCACCACATTGGAGGCACTCGTGCGATCCGTATTTACCGTGTCGTGTGCAAAATCGTTGTCCGTTATTGGTGTGCGTTTGTCGTGTTCACGAGGGTCGACTTCCGGCCGACCCACGAGGCAGTTTTTGCCCCCCACAGAGTACGAGGGGCTGCCATCCGCCGAAGCGGATGGGCGGGATTCCCCCTTTCGGGGACCTGCCTGGGGACCATTTTTAAAACGTGCCTGTTCCATATTTATGCTTGCTTTGAAAGAGGGTGAGCTCCCCACTGGACACCCACCAGCCATTCATCCCATCGCCGGGCGCTAGAACTTGGGATTGGGGTGATTTTTTATAGAGGTTTTCTTCCTCGCAGCCCTCCTCTCAGTGAGGAGGACCCCCGGTCACACTCCATGTGGGATTACGGGTTGGCCGGAGCCGGTTCTGAGACCGAGCACCGCCCACCGTCTCGGTTACGAGTTCGATAGCGCCGGACGGAACCAACGCTATCTTCCTCCCCTCCCGGTGCTGGTTTTGGTCCGCGCCGGCCGAAGCCGGTAGCTCCCATATCTGGGAGCCGTTCCCCTATCCGCCACCTGGGGACGCGTCCGATGGCAGACCAGCAACTGCACACGGATTTGCAAGAATCTGGGGTTTGTCAAACTTCATTTAATATGTAGGTTTATCCATGATATGCTAGCAGACTGCAGACTTGTTTACGCGACGGTGTTTGACATCAGTTATATGTTCTTTGACGCGGGTACAAATACTTCGCTTTGTTTGTCCAATATAAGAGAGACCGCACTCACAGTCAAGCTTGTAAACTCCTGCATCCTGTAAGGGGATGTTACATTTCACGGGTCTCAGGAACTGAGAAATCTTCCTTAGGGGCTTGAAATAGGTCTTGATAGATGTACGCTTGAGGACTCTTCCGATCTTGTCTGTAACACCTCTCACATATGGTAAGATGGCAGGTCTTCGCTCGACTGTTGGTGGTTTCACACTGGGCCTGCGGCATTGGCGAGAAATCTTCAACTTATTCGCATGTAGGGCTTGCTTTATATGCTGAAGTTCCCCTGCCAGATGATTACTGTCGCAGACACCATGTGCTCTCTGAAACAAAGATTTGCCCACGGTAGCTAACTGGCTAGGATGGTGATGGGAATTATAAATAAATAAAATAAATAAAATTGTTTATTCAGTAACATAATGTACAGAGAAAACTAAAGACTACTTATGCGATTTAATGTCAAAATAACACATGTACCTGAACTAGGAAATTCCTGTATTTCAGGTAAAAAGTACTACTAATTATAAATGTGGATACTATTAATATTATAAATACTTTTTAGGAGAATCTTATGAAATAAAATTAAACAATTAAATAATAAATTGCCATTAAAAAAATAAAAAAATAAATAAAAAATGTACACTTAAACAAGACAACATTTAATTTACGATAATAAATAAATTCTCTGTATCCTCATAGGACATATTTTGAAGAGCTTCTTGGAGAATTTTCTTTACCTTAAAGCAACAGAAATTATAAATGGAATATTTGGCGTTTAATTTATTGTACAAAAATGGTCCAAGAAACACAAAAAATCTTGAAATAAAAGTATGTTTTGATGATATAATTTTGGGGCAGACAATATCTTTTCGTCTTTTATTAGTGTTTTCAGTAATATATGGGAGCAATACGTGCTGTTTGAGGACTGTGGACTTAATGAATAATTGCCTTACAGTTAATACTTTACATGACTTATACAGAAGGTCAGTGGGGTAACGGAAAGGGCGGTAGGTAGAAACCTTTAGGACAGCTCGCTGGGCTCTTTCAATGATTAGTAAAGTAGTTTTAGCTATACCACCCCATGATGTAATGCAGTAAGTAATTAATGATTGGCATAATGCATAATAAACTTGCCTGATTATTTTAAAATCAGCAGAAACGCGTAGTTTTTTAAACACAAACATTAACTTACGGAGTCGGGCGCTTAGTGCTTCGATATGGTGTTTAAAGGATAGGATGTCATCTAATATAACACCTAAATACTTTATCTTGTTAGTAATAGCAATGTCTGGACATTTACACAGGTTGTTAGTAGGGTCAAAAAAATGGTGAGCATATAGTTTAGGGTTAGATATAAATGACTTTGATTTCCGCATATGGAATTGCATAAAACAAGTTTTATCCGTATTTAGTGTTAGCAAATGATGTTGGAGCCAGTTATTTACTATATTGAATCCACGCTGTGCATAGTCGTATACCTCCTTGTCAGAGTTTGCAGAAAAGAGTAGAACAGTATCATCAGCATAGGATATGATCTTTCCACCTTGTAAATCTAGGTTACAAAGGTCATTAATGTAAATCAGAAAAAGTGTTGGTCCTAAAATACTTCCTTGAGGAATACCAAATGAAGTGCACTTCAGATCAGAACTGTGAATGTCACCTATTTTAACACATTGGGATCGGTCCTCCAGGTAGTTTTCGAGTAATTTAAGCTGTATGCCCCTTATACCAAGCGATTCAAGCTTCTGTAACAGCACAGGGATATAAACTGTATCAAAAGCCTTCGCTAGGTCTAGAAAAATACCTACAGTTTTGTTACCCTTGTCTAGTTCCCTTGCTACAAAATTCGTAAGGTGATGCACGGCGTCAGATGTCGATAATTTAGATCTAAAACCGAACTGTGTTTTAGATAATATGGAATGTCTCTCCAAATACAAGACAAGTCTATTGTTAATAAGTTTTTCTAATATTTTAGATATTGCTGGCAGTAACGAAATAGGTCTATAATTAGTTATTTGTTCTTGGTTACCAGATTTATGTACCGGGACCACAACAGCTTTTTTTAAACACGTGGGGAATATTCCTTTTGTTAAACATTTATGCAAAATGACCGTGAGCGGTGAAAGTAAAATGTGCCTGAATTGTTTTAGTATTTTGTTAGATATGTTATCACAACCAGTAGCACTATCGTTTTTTAAGATTACAATTATTCTT